CAATTAGAGGCAGCTTGGACTGTCCTTTGTTTCCAACAGAGTTGTTTGTTTATTTGTGGTTTGTTTAATAAAGCAGCACAATCAGGATTGTGAGCATTGTGAAGGTTTACAAAGCTGCCAAGCTGCAGAGAGGGAGGAGGTCACACCTTGCACCTGAGGATTCTGAAGCACAATCATTTCATAACTGTTCTGATGGAGGGGGGCTGGAACGAGATGAGCTTTAAGGTTCCTTCCAGCCCAGCCCATTCTGTGAACCCTGCCAGGCCTGGGAAAGCCCCCTCTCGTGACTTTACAACCATACCTGCCTGTATAATGTGGATTCCAGTTCAGACTCCACAACACTGTCAGAGTCTCTGGCACCTTTCAGGGCTTGCTTGACCTGCCAAGACCAAAGGAAAACCACCTCATTATCCATAGCAAAACAAGGTGTGGAAAACAGCACTAATCCCACCTGGGTACCTGTGAGACAGCCTGGTTGAGAGAAACCAGAGGCCTCTTTTTCTTCTCCTCGTAGCTGTTGTCACTGGAAGCCCCTTCCATGCTGTGGCGTAACAGGATCCTTTGTGCCATGGCCCCAGCATCCTCCTCGCTTGACAACTCATCAGAAACACCGTCCCTGTTGGTGCCATCATCCTGCAAATGCACGGCCAAAGCCACACCAAGGACCAGCCTGAGTCCCAACAAAGGCTCCAAGGCAGAGCTGCCGCCCTAGCACAGCCCTCAATGCCTGCAGACCCAGCACACAGAAACAGAATTCTCTTGGCATCACAGAGACTTCACAGATTTTAACTCCTGTCCCCTGCTCTTGTCTTGCCCCAGAGGTAATGAGAGAGAATTTTGGGTGGGTGGAGTTGGAGTTGGGGCAAGGACAGGAAGAGGAGGAGGCAGCAGCAGCTCCTGGCTGTGCCTTACTAGAAGCCTTAAGCCCAGATGTATCTATGAGCTGGGGGGTAACAAATCCAAAATCCTGGGCTGTGCCCCTATACAAAGCTCTGCCCCTCTCCAAACTCTTTCACAGAGAGGGGGTGGGATGGCACAGTATGACAGAATTCCACCCAGGATCTATTCCAAGTTCTCCATGTGGAGTTCACACACCACTGGCCAAGAGGGAACTCAAGAGTAATTCCCGAAATCTTTGAATCTTTGTTTCAAAGCTTTCAACAGAGGTCATAATGCTTTAGCTCTTTCTCTCTCCCCAAGGGATGTCTCAGTCTTACAAGACAAAATATTTTACAGAACTGCTTTGTAAAATGGTCAATTTATTTAGTCATTATCACCATTCTCCCTTAACTGAACACCTTGTGATCAGAAGTGTCAACAGTTAACAGAGCACTTTGGTAAAACACACAGTCCAGCACTGTCTGTGACCACACTTGGTCAGGTTGGACAGAGCTTGGAGCTGCCTGGAATAGTGGAAGGTGTCCCTACCCACGGCAGGGGGTGGAATGAGATGAGCTTTAAGATTCCTTCCAACCCAAACTACTCTGGAATTCTATTCTATGATCATGAAAAGAAAGTACCAGCACCTTTTCAGCTGCTCAGTGAGAGGCAGAAAGGGGTTTCTAGGTTTCCTAATGCAGGCAAAGATTAGCAGGAGGGAATATCTTGTATTAGATCAAACCATACAGTTAAATACCAGCACATTTCTGGGCACACAGAAAACACACTGAAACTGTGATTTCAAAGGATCTCCCCTGGCAGTACCTGATGGCTCTTCTCCCCATCAGAAAGTTTACTTTTCTCTTTGGAGTGCAGCAGCCTGTGTTCAGATCTGGCCTGTCTGGGTTTGATGCAATCACCCACAGCACTTTCTGTCTCGGTCCCTTTCTCAGCTACCAGCTTTACTCTTCTAGTCCTAGGAGAGAAATGAATGTTTTTATTAGTGAGAATTAAATGCTTTTATGTCAGGGAAAAACTCTTTGGGGTAAAACATTCTGGTCTTCCCTTGTCACACAGGTGCAGCATCAAACAGGATACCTAAGGGATAAATCATTTTCTTTGGCTGACAGGTTTTGTGTGATGAGTCTATTAAAAAAAGATTTATATCCACTTCACCCTCACTCAACATGTCTTTTGTAACTCTAATAGTATCTTAAAACTTCTAAATCAAGGGGAAAGTTTTCATTAGTTTTATTTTTTAAAAAAATAAGCGTAATTCAGAACAAAAATTCCTTGTGAAGAGAAAGCACCTGTGAGCTGGAAACTCACCAGGAAATTCAGCTGGGAAAACAGGAGAAAACAATGAAATATTATCCCATACAATCTCTCCTCCTTTTCCTCGAGTTACTTTTAGAGAAGGAAGGTGCCAAAATGAGACAACTGTCCAAAACAAAAGGCACAATTTCTTTTGGAATTCAGCTAAAACAGCAATACAATCTCAGCACTTACTCAAATGAGGTCACTTATCTGATAAATAAATTCCACCACATTCTACAGCTAATCTAACACTTGGTTCCACATGATCTAATTTTATACAGTCTAATTTTATATGATCTAATAAGGACATACTAAATATTCCTGAGAAATCAGCTTCCCACATTGCCATGAAAGTTTTAATTCAAAAAAAGACTGACAGGTTGTGGGGATGTCAGTGACAGCACACGCTGTGCCTTCATTCTCCAGGTCCCAAATTGCTCCCAGTGTCATGAGCAGCACAAACCCAGCAGGGGTCACATACCTCCTCTGGAAGAGCAGACTGGATAAATTGGTCAGCAGAGATGCAGAGCCAGACTGCTCTTCCTTGCTGGTTCTGTCAGGAGGAGACCAACTGTTCCCATCCACACCCACAGGTTTGCGTAACTTCCTGAGTTTTAAGACAAGGAGAATTAAGTTGGTGCAAGAAGCTACTTTTAAGGTCTTTCTTAAAAGATCTGAATGAGATTTCAACAGCTTTTTGGATGCCATTTTTCTGAAGTCGTGCAAACAGAATACTGACTTCCAAATAAAAAAATTCTGCCTATACTCCCAGCACATCAGAGCATCGCTGAGAAAGGCACGAGGGACAAAATCTGAAGGGAATCTTTGCTGCAGAAACCTGAAGGAGGGAAAGCTCAATCCAGCCCCATGTCCAGCTGTGATCCCACCAAGGGCTCTGCTGGTGCTCACCTGCGGCGCCGGCTGAGCCCGTTGTTCCCTGCAGGTCTGTTCACCTGGGTGGACACGATCTGGCAGTGAACTGTCCCCAGCAGCAGCATAAGGCACAGGGGTCCCATCACTTCACTGGCACTCACAACAGGCATCATGAAGTACAGCACCACTGCTACGACTGGAGAGGGGGAAATGGCACCAACACAAAAATTAAGGAGTCTGGCTCAATTATTTGTTTTTACTATGTTTTGTTGTTTTATTATTTGATTTCTGCAATTACTAGTGCCACACACCTTGAAATGCACATTAAGTTCCAGACAAGATCCTCATGCTGTATATTATGGACTCCAAAATCATAGACTCACTAAGCTTGGAAAAGCCCTCTGAGACCATCGAGTCCAACCACTCCCCCAGTACTGCCAGGTCCACCCCTAACCCATTTCCCCAAGAGCCACATTCATACATTCTTTGATGTCACATTCCTTGCAGAAGAAGGTTTATGGCACAGCGTGTTCCCTCACCTTGCATAACGTAGAGCACCAAGAGCCACATAAAAATACGCTGGGAAGTGACCTGTATCCACCACTGGCTGAACAAGGGGAAAAACACTACTCTCACAATTCCTTTCCTCGTCAGTGATGTCCAGGGAATTTCAGGCTTGGCTTTGGCAAAGGTAGAGCCTTGGAATTGAAGGGGAAACAAGTCATCATGAACTGAATCACAAGAACTCTCTTGCTGGAGTTCCCCTTTGGGCAGCCCCAGCCGTGCCACAGAGCTGAGCAGGGGGTGACAGCAGCCCTGCTTCAGACACTATTCAAAGCTACACAGTTCCAGCAGACACAGCTAAAGCAGCTCCTTGTCTTCTCTCAGAGCTCTGGCTCTGACCTTTCCCTGCTCTGCCCTGCTCTGCCCCCAACCCTACTCCCACCCAACACTCCTGCAGAGCCAGCCCGAATTCCTCCCGCTCTGCTCTCAGGTTTTCAGTGCTCCTTTTGCCTCAGTGCTCACGAGCAGGGGCTCCCCTGGCACCAGGGCAGGTTCTGCTTCCATCACCCTGCTCAAAGCTGTGATGCACCTACAGAATCATGGAATATCCTGAGCTGGAAGGGACCCAAAGGGATTGCCAAATCCAGCTCCTGGTCCTGCACAGATACCCCAACAATCCCATCCTGGGCATCCCTGGAGCGGTGTCCAAAGGCTCCTGGAGCTCTGGCAGCCTGGGTAGTGCCCATTCCCTGGGGAGCCTGGGTAGTGCCAGCACTCTCTGGGGGAAGAACCTTTCCTGATATCCAACCTAACCCTGCTCTGAACCACCTCCAACCGGTCCCTCTGTGGCATCCCTGTCCCAGAGAAGAACGAACAGAGCGAGCACCGCTCACCGCTGATCAGATCCACGTCGATCAGATCGGGCTGGATGTGCCCCTTTTTCTTCGGCTTGTTCTTGAAGCCCTGCGGGGCGGAACACACGGCCGAGTTAGCGGCGAGGGGCGCGGGGGCCGCCCCCCCCACCCCGCCGCCGCTACCTTCATCTGGGTCTGCTCCACGGCCTTCTCCCATATCTGCTGGTCGTAGGCCCCGATCTGCGGGGAGAGGAGGCTGAGGGCACGGCCGGGACCGCGCCCGCCCGCCCCGCGCCGCACTCACCTTCTTCTGGTACCATGAAATGGAATCGCGACAGGCCATTGGGGGCGGCGGGACCGGCGCGCCCCGGGACCGACCCCGGCCCCGCTCCCGTTACCCTGGAAACCGCCGGGCGCTCGACTGGCTCCGCCTGCCGCCCCCCCACCGCCCAGGCAGCGCCAGTCGAGCGCCGAGCGCCCCCCCCCACCCCGCAGAAGAAAGAAGCGCCCAGGCGGGTAAAGGACAAAATCAGACTTTTGTTTATTAAAAAAATACTTTACAGGAAAAAAATTCTATGCATTCCGCAGGACTATTTTACAAAGAAATAGCTTAACAGTTTGACACTGGTGTACAGTCAGCTACCGACAGCGCGGGGGGGGCGCGGGGCCGCCCCAGCACACGCGCGAATGTCAATAAATACACTAAGGCCGCACAAAGCAAACAGTCGTCCAGGCAATTGTACACGTCCTCTGGAGGCAGAGACCTTAGATAAATTAAAACCACAGAAAAAATAATCGTAGCTGCCAATCAAATCAAATTAAATCACGAAACAGCAATACAGGAGTCGGTATCTTTACATGTTGTACAGAGAAATCAGAAAGCGGGTGTTTGTCTGAATGCTCGGGGTGCCCTGGGCACTGCTCAGAGCCCACACGAAGGGACAGAACGGGCTCTGGGGGAGAGGAAACGATTCCCCCGCTCCCCTCAGCCAGCTCAAGGCTGCCCAGGCTCAACATTCCTCGGGAACTGCAGAGTTCATCCCTCAGCTGATTCACACCGCTAACCGGGGCGGTCACGCCCGATATGAACTTGGGGAAAGCTCTGACAATTTGCCTTGTCCAGGGGAACTGAACTGTAACGTGCAGGAACGCACAGCAGAGCCTCTGTGAAAAGTGTCCCTTATGAATCCCCTGGGAACACGTCGTGGTGCTCCCCCTTCCTGGAAGAGAACGTGGCAGATACCTGCACCAAGCGACCTGGAGCTTGTCTAGAGGAGAGAGGAAACCAAAGCCAGCCAGTATTTCAGCTTTACACTGCATTTACTGGTCCATTTCTAGCACAGCTGAGCCACTTGCCTTTATCCCTGGGATGTTTTAGTCATCAGCACTTGATTTAAAGTCAAGTCTAAGCCTCAGTTCTGTTTCACAGACAGAGCACTTGGGCAGTGACAGCTGTCTCCAGCACAAAGCTGGAGTATTTTCTACCTGACACACATCACAGAGCAGATCCTCATAAATGGAGCATTGAGGATTTGCAGAACTGACCAGCAGCCTTCAAATTTAGGAACTGTTCTGTATCTGCTTTCCACTGACAATAACAGAACGTTAAGGTGTTGGAATGGACCTTAAAAATCACCCAGTCCAATCTCCCAACTCCCTGCCATGTGCTGGGACACCACCCACTGGGCCAGGCTGCTCAACCTGGCTTTGAAAACTTCCAGGGTTAGGGTATCCACAACCTCCCTGGGCAACCAGATCTTCACCACCCGTCAAATTTCTTCCTTATCTCTGAAATTCCTCCTCTTTTGATTTGTACCCATTGCCTCTTGTCCTGTCACTCAGTTGCTGATGAACAGCCCCTCTCCAGCTTCCCTGTAGCCCCTGCAGAGCATGGAAGGGGCCCTGAGGTGTCCACACAGAACAGCCCCAACTTCCTCAGCCTTAGAACAAGCCATCAAATGTGCGAGAGTTTGATCAGCTCATTAAGGAGCCCGCTTTATGAAATCTTGGAGAAATTCAAATAGCAGAACAGGAGATATTCAGGAATATTTACTGGGTTTGTTCTGCTCAAACACTAAGTGGCCTGAACTCATTACTTCCTCTCTAAACTGCTCTAGCTCATGAAAAATCAGGGTTCTACAGGTCTTGGGCTGGAAAACATTTGTGTTTGTCCCACCAAGGCTTTGTTCCAGGCAAATGAAGCAATGGCTGGAGAATGAGCAGCTTCCCAAGCAATTCCTCTCACACTTTACATCCAGACTTGAGATGGAATTTGAAAGCCTGCCAGTTTAGTTAAAGCACAGCAAAGCTGAGCATGGATTTAGTAAGAGATTCTCAAACAGCTTGTTCCTCTCTCCCTCAGTCTTTCAAAATAGGATAGCATCAGCAACATTCAGGTCATTCAAAGATACCTTTATTTATGTGCATTTAAATCTGACATTAGGTTTTAAGTTAGTAACTGAGCAGAGCACAGAGAGCATGATGCTATTGGTCATGTACCTCCATGCAAGAGGAAGTCAGAGCATTTTCCAGGAATTTCAGGCTGTTGTCACTGATTTCACTAAAACTACAGCTTGGAAAGTAGCACAAACCACCCTAGTCTTCCTTCATCCATTTGAAAACATGCTATTAGAATTTACAAAGGACTTCCAAATGTATTCTCTCTTTATTCCATTCCAATTTTCCCAAGAAACAGACAGGTTGGTGCATGGGGGCTCTCACTGTTTATGCTGCCTCTGCAGGCTTGCTCGGCCCCTGCAGGTGTGACAGTTCCTGAGTGATCAGTGCTGGCTGCCAGGGAAGGGCCACCCTGGCTGGGCCAGGGAGCAGCACGGGAGAGGCGCAGAACAGGCACGTGGAAGACTCGCAGACTTGGTCAAAAGGAAAGAACACCCTGGGGAATCTTTGAATGTGAAGGATGAACTGAAACCACTATTGCCTGTGAGGAATTTTACTTTGCACAACCCTTAAAGCTATGAAATTCCTCTCAACATAAAAAGTGGAAAAAACCCACCAGAGAACTGACAGCTCGTTTCTGAGCCGCACTGAGTCATCTAGAATTTCTGCTAAGATTAAATTACACCCCTGCATGAATCACATTACTTCTCATCATAAAAGCTTTCCATTCTAACACCTTATTTACACAGATTACTAAACGAGTCACTACCACTTCAATCTGTAAATTAGTTTTAAATTGAAATATTTCCTAGTCCTCATTTTTGTACCGAAGACAATACATACATACACATAAGGAGTAATACAGGTTCTAACTAATCACTGCAGTATCTTCTGAGGATTATTTCTCTATCAGTTTAAAATAGTGACCTCTACACTGAGGTGTTAATATGTATATAAAAGCCTACACAAACAATATTGCACAAAGTAAGATTTATAATAGAGTAACATATTTTAGAGACCCTTATAAAGAGAAGAGTAATAATTGATATTAAAAAGATGCATCCAGAACTAACACAGCATCTTTGCTTTTGTCTAGTCTAACATAGTGTTTCAAATCTTTCCTACCCCAGTGAGGATTAGAACAAATAAAGTTATCTGGAGACAGCTTAGTTTGCACCAAACCCCAACTTGTATTCTAAATGTGGGGAGGGGGGAGGGAGAGGGAAAAGGGACTTTTCCTTTTGATGACTGGAAAGGGCAGTAATAAATGGGGTGAGTGAAAGTCAAATACAGATTACACATTTACATCCAGAAACATTGAAAGATCGTTTAAAAACTGTTAATAGCTGACACTCTACACATTGAGCATGTGCTGCTGATTTTTCCACAGTAACTGGGCACCCAGGAACTACACGTGGAAAAAGCAGTCCAACGCCAAAATACTTTTTATTGTGAAATACTAATACAGAACTTACACAGTAAGGCTGTCCTTATTCTAGGAAGTCAGGTATCAGCTCAATGATTATTATATTAAGTGCATCAGTACAAGGGAAAGTCCAATCCATTGGACACGTTACGACCCGATCAAACAAGCTGCCAAGTTGGTTAAGTATTTTAAAGCCTTAAAGTGCTCAAAGATAGCAGTTTCCTCCACAAGACTACCGAGAGGTTCTCTAATTTTGACACTAGCATTTATCACGTTCAGGGAAGATGTATTTTGGAAGCAAAAACCCTCACACCAAACAACATAAGCAGTGCTGTGAGAAGTGTTAGGTCAGTAAGTCATTGCATTTCAACAGGAATCAGACACTTGCTTCAGTTCTTTTTACAGGTCACCCTTGTAGGAACTGTAAGAAACATCAATTTCTATAGCTTGTATATAAACCAACATGTCAAGAACAGACATACCAAAAATTCCACAAATCATCAAAAGTGCTGTGCTTTCTCTATTTTTTCTTTTTCTTTTTTTCTTTTTTTTTTTTTTTTTTTTTTTTACTTTTTTAAGCAATTAAAATGAGATGGGGAAGTCACTTTGCAAGTCTTCTACAAAAGCATCACTTTCTGGTGAAGATTAGAGATAAAGTAAAAGTAGGGAAATAACAGTGACCAATGGTGAGTTCAATCATTTCATGTTCCTGGAGGAATTTCAATCTGACTTTGAGAAGATATTCAACATCTCTTCACTTAAACAGAAAGAAGTGGTAGACCACTGTTACAGGTTGTACTAAGGGGTTAAAATACAACTTGAATTTTGCATAATCTGTGTAAAAAAGATATGCTTGACATTTTGGAATGTCACCTTTCTTTATAGAATTATAGGCAAGATTTCTCCAATAAAACATAAGCCAGTTACAAAACTATAACTTCACATCAAAATTTTAAAAAGTTGTTTAAAAAATGTTTGAATATATACATATCACACAGAAGAGCCTGCATGATCCTGTGGATTGTGTTGCTGATCAGACTCTGTTTTAAAACCTGGAAGGGGCTGAGCCACCTGATCTGGTTGCACAAGTCCTGATATTGAAGAAACAGAGGAGGAGAGCACCCCTGGGGTAAGCTGAATTTCTATACCTGGTTCTTCAGACTCTATCTTTACACTCACACCTTGGGGTTCACCTTCTGCCTCTGTGTTTCCAGGAACATCACTGCTCAGGCTTGAATTGCTTTCTGCTTTTGGAGAAGTCTCCCCCACGGGGTGATACTGTTTGAGTCTGATGTGCCAGGCTAAGCTGCAGACTGCTGACACTGTTTTGAACTGATGAATGACATTTCTAGGGATGAAGTAGATGTCATTGTCACACAACTGAATCCTAGCATAGCGAATGCCTTCCCGTCTCATTTGGTTTAGTTTGGCTTCGTCCACCCATTGAACACACTGGGAGAAGGAGAGATGGGAAAGTTAGTGATAAACTCTTCAAACAATTCAGCATCTTTCTGTTTTCAAGTTAATTCATGTCCAAATCAGAATGTTTCCGTTTCATGGGTAAAACTTCAAATTCAAATGAGAACTAGACTTTTAAAATACAGTTTCTCAGATATGCACATCTTTAGATGAGAATGAAGAGGTTTCTATAGTTATAGTTAAAAACTACAAAAATGGGCTGTGTTATTTGGGCTGACAGGACTTAGTTTAGATGCTTCCATAGCCTAAGACATCAGACATTAGAAAAATCAGGAACAGGCACACATGGCTCAATCAACAGATTGTTTCTACAGCACACCCTGGGATCCACAGCATGAACCCCAGCTCAGGGGAAAGGAAAAGAAAAAGATCCCTTCCAACTGAGCTATTTTATCCTGAACTGAGAGAATTATGGGAACTGATGGGATACAAAAGGGCTGACTTTAGGGAGAAGCTGGGATCTGTCAGAAACTCCTCCCAAAACATCAGGAATGAGCTGTCACAAGGGCAGATTTGATACCTGTGACACTGGAGGTTCATGCAGGTCCAGCTGAAGTCTCTGCACAACATCAGTGAAGTCTTCAGCATGAAAACAAACCACATCTTTGGTTATACGAGGCTGGTCACTCCTAGAAAAAAATGAGAATTCCACAAATTTTTAAAGTATTTCAGTTACAGAGCATTACAGCTCTTCCCAGCAGAAAGCTTCATTGAACCAATGACCTGCTTCAGTGCACAAAGTCTCAACACTTCTCAATAGTGTATTATTTTGAAAAACAGGGATAATTCATAGATTTCTCTTTTTTCTTTCTCCACTCTTGCTCCATTCACAAGAGAAGTGACGTTTGCATGGGCAATATACTGAAAAGCCTGTGAACCAGGTTCAAACTGCCACTATGAAAGTTCTCTGTGTTCCAGGAACCACAATTTGCCTCAATTCTTCCATTCTAAAATTGGACAGAATAATTCTGCATTAAGGGAAAAATGTAAAATTATAAAATAACACTGAAGTTGAACCTGTGAGTAGTTTTATTCAACAGCGGAGTATACGAAATACTGGCATCTTTTAGTCTAATGATATCGCTAATGATGCTATCCAATTTCTACTGTAATTTCTAGCTATTAAAATGATGCAAATCCAGTTTCTCTGCAAGGTCAACAGCAATATCCTGGGTGCATAACCTGAGAAAGCACCGCAGCTGTGAAGCTAATTGCACTGAACTCTCAGACTGCAGTTACAAAAGCTAGAATTAACATATGTGCTCAGGAAAAGAATAATCAAGGATGATGGTCCAAGTTTAAGGCTTTTGTACATCACTAAAATATTCTGCAAGCTGCTGCTACAAATTTTTTACTGCCTCTAGATGGAAAAATAGGAAGTGCGCAGCTTGAGGTTTTCAGCTCTATGCAGCTTTTGAATCACAGAATCACACAATGAACTAGGTTGGAAAAGACGTTTAAGATTATCTTGTCCAACCTATGGCCTAACACCTCCTCATCAACTAAACCATAGCACTGAGTGCCACATCCTGGCTTTATTTTTAAACACATCCAATGAGTCCACCACCTCCCTGGGCAGATGATTCCAGTGATTGTCTCATTATAGGGTTTAAACTGTTTCTGATTAGGTTTGTTTTGCAAGGAATTTTTTTTTTTTTAAAGAATAGCTGCATTCCAGCAGCACTTACCATTCCCCAAACTGCACAGCCTTGAGCACCCCAACAGCAGCTGTGCTCTGCCAGTCAAAGCCCTGCCCCACATGGTCAGCGTGAGCTCTGGTCCTGTCCTCAAACAGGACCTCGCGGGGCTCGCTGGTCCGAGGTAGGTACTGCAGGTTCTTGATCTCGTTCATGGACCTGCAATGGGATAAAAACACACTAAAAATGTCCCTGTTGCTCAAAAATTAACATTTGTACTGAAATAATCTTGAAATAGTGGGTGCTGCAGGATTCCAAGGAACAAAGCATTTCCTTGATTTTTTTCTAGGTGTTTATTTGGTGAAAGATTGAAACGAAAGTAGCAAAGTACAATTCAGCTTATGAGATCAAACTTCACAAAACAAATCAAGTCACATAATTTTTGTGTTCACTTGTGCTGAAAGACTTCCTCCAAGAATGTATTGGTATGTGAAATAGAGCTATCCTACAGAACCTGAGCTTCAGGTATTTGGGAGTACATCCAAAAATTCCTGAAACGACAATTAAAATATGCTTCCAAATTTCCTGAAATTTGTCTTAGAGCACTCTTTCAGGGACAGAAAGCAAGCACACACAATAATTCCTGAGCAGGCAGGCAGTGTTACAAGTGCTTTAGCACTGACTGCACTCTGATGCAGCATAAGCAGTAGAAGGATCTCTGCTGTTTTATGGCATTCCACCTGCTCTTACCACCAAATTGGTCCTTCCCACAGAAATAAGACTAATTAAGCCTCCTGAAGGATAATAAAAAGAGGTTTTAATCTTAAAGCACTGATCTAGGATACGTAAGAAGTACTGAAAGAAGTTGTGAAATAAAATACCCATCACAGGTAACATTTAATTTGTCTGCTGAGCCAATTTGAAACAAAGTGAAAGTGAAACTTAAATCTGAATTAGTCCTCTGAAAAGCCAGTTGCACATCAATCACTTTGCTTTTGTTCTCAAGTCTGACACAGACTTAACTGCAATGTTTTTCCTCAAGTACAAAAGGAAACCCAAACTGTACCGGCGCCGTTTGAAGGGTGATTTTGGCATATCAGCTGTGGGGATCATCTGCTCTCCCGGCCTCACCCACATGATGGGTCCATCATCACTCTGGGACCTGCACTGAAGTCTGAGACTGGAAAGAGTCCCCCAGGGCAAAGTCATCTAAAAGAAAATAGGAACAGAACAACCCACAAAACACACATAACACAAAACACTGGGTAAGATAGAAAAATTAAATGATGCCTTTGGTAAAACTGGTTCATATCTGCTGTCAGAAGAATTGCATAGAAACTAAGTAAGTTTGAGAAGAAAAAGATATTCCAAGCTAATTTTGTCAAGCATAGTTTTTAGGGAAGTAGAAGTGCATATATATATAACAAACTTGATTTTTTTTTTTTTTAATTAGCCACCTCATTCCTTGCCTTTGGACACAGGAAAGAATGAACCTCAGTAGCCCAAATAAGCACACTAATAAAGAAAATACCTTACAGTTTCTAATTACTTGGAAATCTAACAATTGCTTAAATATCTACAGTGCTCTGATCACAAGTTACTGCTTACTCTAAGAAATGGAGATTCTTCCAACATATCTAGGAATTCTGGGAAGTAGTCCCCAACTTCTTCATCCACTGCTCCCACCAGGCTGATCTGGCGCATGGGTCCTGCTCTGTAGGTGCCACAGCAGTACGTCCGATTGACCTGAAGGCCAGACAGGAGACAACACCACCACAGCTTTAGTTCTCTCACAGGAGATTAAAACTAACTAATCTAACACAGCTGGGATCAATCTTGGACTCATCTACACCTGTTTCAGCAGCTGTGCCTTTAGGAATAAGCACAGGGACTGTTTAGAACAGAAGGGAAAGAAAGGACTCCTGCTTGTACTCCTGACAGGAAATCCTTCTGAAGTTTGAATAACAGCAAGTGAATATTTGACTAATTCAGGAACAATTCAACACTTCCAGGCTGACTTGAGAAAACAACCACACAAGGTTTCATTGTGACTCAGTCTTTCTCCAGCAAGCTTCAACTCTCCATAGTTTGTGCAGCTGGACTGTTGCTTCTACGTTTCAAACCAGATGCTCCTGGGACATGCACATTCCTCATTTCAGCCCTGTCCCTGAGGTCCTCCCCCTGGGACTGCAGTGAAAAACCTGTGTCCTTCCTGCAGTGGTTCTGGTGGTGCTATTACAGTATACACAGAATACTGGGCAAAAAGCAGAGGAAATGAGAGGTTTAGCTGGAAAGCCAGTGCTCACTGAGAAGAATTTTAGGATAACCATTTGCAGCAAAACCTACTGTCAGTGCTGGGGCCAGAAGCACTTTAATCTCAAGCTCGTGGACATCCTCTAGAACACAGACTGTCCCACCTTCCAGGGCATCTGGAAACTTTTCTTGCCAATTTCCTGTTCCCAGAGGAGAACCATGGGCAAACGCCAGTGTTCTGTAGCCTCATCCTATGGACTGCAGCTGGAAGATGCCACTGGCCACAGAGGAGGTTCTGTGTAGATACCACAGCTAAATGACACTATAGAGCACAAGCTCTATACAGCACAAGTCTGTTTTGCACACTCAATTGTGTCTGAGCCCCAGCCTTCAGTGCTCTAAGCTGTTCTCCATGACTGAGTGGTGGGACAGTACAGACAATTACTGGTAAATCTCCAGTTTAACAGTCATGTTCACACTGTGTGATGCACAACTCCACTTATAGATACGTGGGTGGAGCAGCTTAGCTTTTAGTTTCAGTTTTGCATGTTTAGCCAGCAAACCAGATGTCATTAAACTAGTCCATGGAGTTGTTAAAGGTAAATTAGGAGAGACTAATAAAGGAAGAATAGAATTACTGCTGCAATTTTATCCTCCATCAGAAGCCATAGATATTTCACTTCCTAATTGCAGGAGTTTAGCTCACTCTATTTGCTGAATGCAGTTCAGAGCAGGAGCACTGGAACACCTCAACAATGTTTTAGTTCTGTGCACCTACAGACAAACTGAGGACTGAAGGGCCCTGGTCCTTCTCCAGTGAAGCTTAACTGCCTGGCACTCGACTCTTTCCAGATGAGTTCTGTGCTACTGAAACCACCTGGTGAGAGTCACTGGTATTTCACAGGTGTTGGCATGAGCTAAAATAAATTAGAATTCCATAAGCAGTTTCTCCTTGTAATGTTTTCAATGGAAATGAAAAATGAGAAGTTTTAACTATTTATTTTTCATGCACTGGAACAATGAAAAAATAGACAAGAATTCAGGAATTACACAGGAAAGAGTAGAAATACTTTAGGGAAACATTGGATTTCAATGCTTTAGCTTTTAATAGAAATTAAAGGAATATAACAGACTTGAGGATTAAACCTAGGACATATTTACACCGAAAACATGCACCAACCCACAGCAATCCCCAGCAGGCTATATTATTCATCTCAAGTACCTCAATCACAGGGGATGTAGCCTGCTAGTTTAATATGCCATAAAAAACCTCCTCAGTTTTTTTAAAACTGCTTCTCTCTCATTGTTAATTCCTTCTGAGCAGCAAACACCAACACCACCAGTTAGGCCAGTAGTCTCAAGAACATGATGTAATGAACATCTGAAAGAACAGGCACCTTGCTCTCACTTTACAGCTGGGTGGTTTTAGTGTCCCATGAGCAAGCACCCGCCTGGCTGTACTGCAAACTCTTTGGCCTTGCATTCACCAGGTGCTCCAGATCCCCTCTGAGCTCTATTCACTCCACAGCCACCTCATTGCACAGCCTGCACCCCTCATTGCAGGAAGAAAGCTGAGATGATGAAATAGCTGAAGTCACTTTGTTATGTCCACTAGGATCTCTCTCAGTGTTTTTTAGTTTTGTTTAAAGTTCAGCTCTTGTTTAGGAACTTAGCTGGGGTCACTCCAGTTCATACGGCTGCCAGAAGTCAGTAACTTATTACCACAGCACCTCCCTTGCTATAATTTGTTCCCTGTCCTGCTTTAAAAGCAGCAGTGGGTCACAAGCAGTCACTGCTACTGTTTTTACTGTTGCAAAAAGACAATGGGGCCAGTAAGACCACTCAGGCAGCCTGTGCCCTTTCAAATGCCACCCAGCCATCACTGCCATGCGTACCCCCCACACTGACAGTGACATGGGCATGTTTAAAATTAACTCTTGAGTGCTCATGGAGACATTTTCTCTCAGCTGCACCTTGTGCCTATCAGTGTTTCCCACACTTGGGTGAGAACAGAAGCAGGCTGAGGCAGTGTTTCCTGTCAGAGGCACAGAGCTGGTGTTTATTTGCATGCTTCTGAGCCACCCCAGCCTCACCACTGGTTAAGTGAGCAGCACAGGGTGAGAAGAGGACACACAGATGAGGCATCAACTGGAGACAAATGAAATTAAGCCTCAGAAGTTTCTCTCCAGTTGCAAGAAAAGCATGAATCAGTTGACAGCAACAGTATTTCAGTATACCAAGTCAGCTATAAAACCAACCACACAAACACTTGGCTACAAGGAAGAAAGCAAGAGCAGAAGGCTGATTCCTGCTGAAGGACATGCCAGCGCAGCAAGGGTGACATGTTTGACTAAAATCTGACATCATGCAGGATCACTGGGCATTGTTTGTATGGCTTTAGTGACAAACCAAATGAAGTTTGCAGTTCAGTTGCACAATTTTTCCACTTAATACTTTAGTAGCTACTGCTAAAAAAAGAAATTACCCTTCCAGAATCAGAGAAGTTCACATGGGGCAGACAACCAAGCTGTGATGTGGTTAATGAACCAAAGCTGTCAGGGACAGAGTAACCTGTTCTGAGCAACAGGAGTAAGAAAACTTACCCAGTTATCACCTGTTGGCTGCTTCTCCCACCTTCTTCCCAGAAGAAACAGCAGCTTATGCAAAACCTACTTCCCCAATTCTCTTTCCTGGCCTCTTCCCAGAACCCCCACACACCCTCTGTGACAGCCTAACTGTTCTTTGGATCACAGAGAGAATTCATCAGGCAGAGAATTGATCAGTTGGGAAAAAAAGAAGTGTTTTTTAAACTCTAAATATATTCTCATTCACTGAGTGGAAGCAATTGTACTGAAACAAGTGATAAGAAAAATAAGAGTTCATTCCAGCTGCACCACAAAGAGTTTCCAAATTAGTGTGCCCTTATGTGAGGAAAGCTTACTGCTCAGTGATTTGAGTCTTGAAAGCTCTCAGCCCAAGTGCACAGCTCCACAGTAAAGGCGAGCTGCAGTACTTCAGTGTTAGAACCCATGAGTGCCAATGCAAGCAAAGAATCCACAGGACATTAAAGATGAATTATTTTAAGATACTGAAACCAAACACTTATGTAACAAATATATATTGGAGTGCTTTGCTATAAACTCACTGCCCTGAGAACAAAGGAATTCACCTTGCAAAGCAGTTAATTATCACTAGATTTACCAAGTCCTTTAGATTAAAGTCAGTATTTTGAATACTGCAATTCAGTTTCACTAAAAACACAAAACAGCTGAATGTCATGCAAGCCAAAGATCACATTAACTTGCAGTTTACAGAACAAATTTAGATTTCTTGACACTGAATCTTCAGGATTCAAGACTCCCTAATGCTCCAGACCCCCTCGGCACAGGTCTGTGCAGCAAACTCATGCACAGAGAACAAACCTAGAACAGAGGCAACTTAATTATAAATAGTCAGTGTTACAGCATACAATAGTGCAACATGTTTAATCTGCAAACGCACAACTATGAAGTGCTTCTGCACTGTACAGTTCTTGTACAGAAGAGTGAAAAGTGAAGCTTGGCCAATCTGTTCATCCCTCACCAGATCTGCCAAGGAACACCAGCCCAACAGCCAGGTTCATCACCCAGGCCCTCGAGCAGGGCATTGCAGCCTTCTCCATTCCAAGACAAGCCAGCCTGCGAAACTTGGGTGAACCCACTAGCAATTCCAATGTTTCCTTCAGCTTTTCCATCACCTGTATTCTCTGGAGAGCCCTGCTCCAGCTGCCTGTGATAGCTCCCCTGCTCTGTTTGCTCAGGGAGAAGTGCACTAACACACTTCAGCCAGATAGGATTAACCAGGTCATGCTGGAGCTGGGTTTAGAGAAGTGGTTTAGACCAACTGAACCTTATGTCATGACTCAATCAAGTTTAGACAGTACTTAAAATAGAATTAATTGAAGTACCACCAGACTATAACCCAACAAAGCCTCTTATTTATTACCATACATTCCTCACGTGTATTTATAGTGCCAGTATTTGTGTTCACAGGACATTCACTGAGAAAAAATGCAATTGTTAAACATTCCAGAGGCTCTGTTTAGCCATTTCAGGGGTCATCACATATACTCAAGCCAGAATGCAATCAGGACACCAAAGAATACAGATAAATCCCTAATACAGAAGACTTTAAAGCCTGATCTGTGGACACATCTGCAGCACACAGGTGTGTGCTGTGCAGAAGTGCTATTGCCCACAGCAGTGGTTCAGAGACTTTTTGGGGTACTCTGCACCCAGACACAGCATAACTAATTACTTAAATCAAGAAACAGAATCTGGTTGAAGTAAGTGCTGCAGCAGAGAACCACTGTCAAACAAAAAGCCAAGTGTCAGAATTATTCATTTAATGCTATTCAGAGACTCCACAGCAACCAAGCAGTAATTTTCTGTAAAGGAGTAATTGTTTTTCCAATGCAAATCTTGCTTATAAGCATTTGGTAAACCCTACAGAGACCCAAATAGCCCATCAACAAGCACTGACACTCCAAAGTCTATTGTTAATGCTGTGCTCCTATTCTACTGAACTGAACACCACTACACTTTCAGATTTATCCTCCCAACAGGTGAACTGGTAAATGTAATTAATGTCTCAACTAAAGACCTTAAAGTAATAAACCGTTTGGATCCATTCTCAGACTAAACAGAAAGAAGCTTTATTCCATCAAAAAGAAATTTATCTAAGCTGTAAGCTTGTGGTATACTCATAGACACTTCTGAGTTTGATCACAAGACTAAAATGCCAGAGATTTTCATATAGGAATCTTAAAATTAGCTTAGTTTTTACTGTTGCATCCATTTAAGTTACACAGAGATACAGTTTCAGAATTTAGTTTCAGCATAACATGGAAACAAAGGGAGTAAATAAAATGAAACTCCTTTTCCAAGGCAATATAAAAGATCCTCTAGCAACCTTCAAGTTAGAAAGTTTAAGCAGCATAAGGCATTGAGGGAACTAAGATAATAAAACCCTTGTGAAACAGATATACTGAAACGTGAAAAGTAACATCATTGCAAAAAAACCCCAAACTCCAAGACCCAAGAAAACAAACCCCAGCTCTACTGACTTGGAAAGCAGCGCTAGCATTTGCAGTCCATGCAACTCCTGACAAAGACTTGGCTGTTGTTTTGAACAATCTCAGTGTTTTCCCAAGTTTAGAAGAAAAATATGCTCAGTGCAGATCTTTCCTCAGGTCACAGGTAGCAGTGTCTGAGGTGTGATTCACTAGCTACCTGGGAGCACAGAAAAGCTTTACGCAGATGCAGGAATAGACAGCACAGTAGTGTAGCCCTAACATTACTTTTCTTCATCTTCATTAGAAAATAAATTTGTGACTTGCCTATTTTAAAGCATACCTGCTCTGGGTTACTGAGATTAATCAAATCTAGGTATTGTGCAACATTTATGCTTTTGAATAGTTCTTACCTGAGAGTGAAAATTTGAAATTGTTGTTGTTTCAATGTCCTTCTTGCCCAAAATTTCCATTTTCACTGGAGTATTTGGAAAGTTAAAAGCAAAGTAATCCAGGAAGTCTGGCAAATAGGCAGCTGCTCCGTGCACTATGGCTAAAGCATAATATGCTGCATTTTTATCATTTTCACTGAATGACAATGCAAGAAACTCTTCTGCAAATCTCTCCATCTCCACTGGAGACAAAAATGAGAGTTCATCCATGTAAGCGTGCAGGACCAGGGCACCTCCATTGGACTGATGCTCCTCGTGAATGAAGTTACTGAATTTAGTGCCAGTCTTCAGGAAGCTGCTGCGGACAGAGTGCTCCTGGTGTGTCACAAAGGGGGTTTGTACTCCCTGGGGTATCCGGTATTCCTGCATGCCCAAGTTCAGCCTGCACAGCTGCTCATCCTTCAGGTACCTGAAGGATTCCTTGTTCATTTCCAGGTTGTCACACTGTCCTTGAGACAGAGTCTCCTTGTCAATGCGAGTGAGCCCAGCACACACAGTCTGCACCTCTTTGTTGTACATCTTCAGACGTTTTCCCCTCACATCTTCCCGGTGTTTCTTTTTCTTTTTTTTCTTTATTTTCTTCATAATAAGACTGTCAGCTCGCTGGGTTTTGCCATTTTCATCTGGAGTTCCTGGTAACAACAATAAAGAGAAGATTAGAGTTCTGCAGTTGCAGCATATTCACCCCAAAAGAATTCAGGCCTCTCACTTGCTGAAGGGATCTACTCCCAGGGAGATTGACCAATCTTAAAACACTTTTAAGATTAACAAAAGCCTGACTTTTGACTGAATTTTACAACCAAAAATGCTATCTATAGTTATACAAATAAAAGCTTGAGTTAAGGAAAACTTCCAAAATTCTAGCTTAATATTTAGAAATACTTAAACAGATTTATTAGAATACCTTTAAAAGGACTCTGTATTTCAGAACATCTATAATTAAATACATTAATAACTTCTGACATTTAAGGCAGTGCCATACAGGGAAAGAGGATAAACAAGTATGTGTAACATTTAAACATTAAGACTTTCATTACAGAACACTTCCCTGCTTTTAGACAGGTGATACAGAAGCAAACAGAGTAGCACTGAACAGCTACAAGCTTTACTTACATTTAGAGGTAAAAACATTAAGTAAATCTTAGCTTGCTGATCTTTTAAAATTAAAGGACCCAAATCATCACATCAACAGATTCAGTCTTATAGTTAATGATTCAGTTGAGAGAAAGAAATTAAGAGCCTGTTTTAGTTGTTCCACTTTTTTTTGAGGTTAATCAACCTCCAAAATGCTGAGAGATAAAATGTAAAGGAGTAGCTCTGTCAGGCAAAATGGAATAGTTTAAGTTCTTATTTCAAGAATAAAAACTAATTTAAATAGTGTTTAGCAAGGGACAAAGGTAATTAGAAAAACTGATGCTCCAGCTGTTAAAAACTCAAATTGCCAAGACGAGATTTTAGCATGCCTGAATCAAAGAACCATTTCATCCAACAATGCCCATAAATCTCCTGGAGATGTGTTAGCAGGATAGCCATTGGGATGAGCACAACCTACAGCTGAAGGCAACACCTGACCAAAGATGCAATAACTAAAGTTTTACCGTTTGCCCTCAGCACAGGGCTTTGTCCTAATACAATTTCCTTTCTTTGGCTGCACACTGGTATTCCCTCTTTATTCTCTTAGAGCACTTAAGTTAAAGAAAAAAATACATGTTACACTGTTTTATGAGGAAAGGTGTAGTGATAAACACAGGCAGCTCCAGGTTCTTTAGCGTAACCAGTGTTTAACTGGATCATTACTGGTTTGGTCTTGGAGCTCCTTACTGGAGAGGGTTGACCTTCATAACAGCCTGGAGTAAGGAACAGAGTTACTCATGAAGCAAAGAAAGAGCTGATTGCTTAATCCTCACTTTGTACAATAGTCTTAGGACCTGAAATTCAAGTTTTCACTGTGCTGCTGCAGCCCTTGCAAACAGTAAAGGCCCTGATCTTTCTATTTCAGAGAAACCAGGAAAAGCAGGGTGGTATCTCTTGTTCCAGGAAGTCAACTGAAACGGTTCTTGGAATGAGGTTTTCTGCAAGACTCAGATGTGAGGGGTGCATGGCTTGCTCAGTCACTGGGCTCTCAAGCACAGACACTGCTTTACTCACTGACTGAATGTGCAATTCACACACCAGGTATTTGTCCTGGTGAGACCAGAGATCCCAAGCTGGAACTAAAAAAAATTTCATGCCCCACTGAGGGGTTGGAGATACTTTCCTATGCACGTTTCTAAGAACATTTGGTTGTTAAAGGTCTCTTATTTTAAGCATTTCTGATTCTAGGTATAATTTTAAAACCTCACACATTTTAATTCAAAGTATCTTCCTGCCATATGCTAATAACAGACAGAGGAATCCTTGCATTTGGGAGCTTCCAGTGAACACTTGTCTGTTTTCTGGATAAAAGCTGCCCTGGCTGCTGCTTGATACACTGAACACAGCAGAGTCCCACTATTACAGTGAGTAACTGCTGTATTCAGTGAAGCTAAACATATATGGCATAATAATGCCTCGCAATCTTGAAGGAAGTATTGTTTTAATTATTTCTTTAAATAAACAGAAAGCCTCCAGCACCTCAAACACAAAAAAGCTGTGAACAGGTCACTAAACTATGGGCTCAGTAGTGAGGCATAGTGACAGCAACGCCAATAACTCAGCTACTCTAAAATGATCAGACATCCCACAAGAGAACCAGAGCCATTATTAAACAGCAAAAACAGTGGGGGTGGTCACTGTCACCTGGGGCCACATATAAGCATAGTATAGTTAGTGTAATAGGTAATTTAATTAGATTATAGATCAAAATAAAAACTGATATTCAGGAAAAGAAATACAGCCCCATCCCTAAAGGCACTACCCCTACAGCTGCAGGCAGGCAGTGCTCAGATGAGCAAACAGCATTCCCTTGCAAATCTGGAATTCTGATACTCATTTTCACACTGTTTAAGCTTTCATTACGAGGCCCAATTTAATTCTGGGTTAGAACTGACACAGTGACACTCCATTCTACAAAGTTATACTGCTCCAAACTTTTGCTTGATAAACACTGTTAAAACCACAGAGGTTTACCATGAGGAGCTTTTATAATCATTATTCAAGCACAGCGGTGTGGAAGCATTAACTAGTGGAGAAAAGCCTCTCCCAGTAATAGTTCTGTTCATTCTTAAGACAGTCCTATCTAGAGTTTACTCTACAGACACCTGATTTCTGTAAGCAAGTGCATCTTTGGTTTTGTTGGCACAAAACCTGCCCATACACTCCTCAAATATAATTCACCACATTATATTTTTAATTACAGCAGCTTTTGCAGTTATTTTGTATCTATGTTGCTCTCTCCAAGAAGATTTTTACTATAACAAATCTCTGAGCAGAACCAAAACAATCACTCTGTACTGTTAAAAAAAAATAAAACCACACACAGCACACACCAAAATCCAGAGATACTTTGGCATTTCAATGAAAGAAAACAAAGAATAATTTGAATTGGAAGGGACCTCTAGAGATCATCCAGTGAAACCCCACTGGATGATCACACCCGCCTTGGAAATATTTGCATGGAATCACGAGATCCCTTCTCAGGTCACTTATTAAAATCAACAATTAAAAATAAGAAATAATAATAATAATAATAAAAATAATACAAAAAAAGCAAACCAGCAGCTCCTCACACGTTAATGCAAACACAGAGGGCAGAAACCTTCATTCCCACAGAACTTGCACGCTGAACCTACGATGAGGGCGATTCTGACAGCAGCAGCAGCGCACCTACCCCGCGCTCCGTCCCCGGGCCAGCACCGCCGTGCCCGCTACGACACGGCCGGACCAGGGCCGCCGAGCCCGCTGCGCTGCCGCCGCCCGCTGCCCTCCACAGGTGCTCCCGGGGCTCCCGGCGCGGCGCTGCTGCCGCCTGGCCGAGCCCGCCGGGGGCACCCGCCGGCCCCGCGCCCCTCGCGCCCCCCGCCCCTCACCTCGCTGGCTGGGCCGCCCCGCCGCGCCGTCCGCGGGGCTGCCGCGCCTCGCCTTGTGCCCAGTGGGCTCGGCGTGGTGCCGGTGGTGGTGTCGGCGCTCCCCGGGCGGCGGGAGGCTGAGCGGGGAGAACGTGAACAGTCCCGCAGCGGCGGGGAGGGCGGGCGGGGGCAGCGGCTCAGCCGGGCCGGGCCCCGCCAGCATCGGCTGGCTCGGCCGGGCCCGCTTGGCGGCCGGCGGT